TATGTCACTCGAGATTGAATAGTAGGTCTGATTTAAGGGCACAATCTAATACTTGACAAGTAATACCGTGAGTAGTACCAATGGCACTTCCAAATGGCTTAGGGAAGTCCCCGCAGGTGTAGCTTTGCACCGCAACTTTTTTCACTTCATGTCAATCAACTACCGCATCATTTAGCAGGAATTTTACTCGACTCATGCTCCGCCAAACAAATAGAAAATGTGACTCGCAGCGCTCTGACAGCGTCATAGCCGACCCGCACGGCCGATCTCTCTCACTTCTAGCATGTTCCAATCGTGCTGATTCGCATGTTAAAACAAAAATGCCTCAAAAACTACGCGAGAAGAGAAAATGTTAAAAATTCAGTTTAAGCTTTTATTTGTGAAGAGACAGAATGTTAGAGCTCATCTTTTGCTTCGCTTGTGAAGAGATACGCGCTTTTGTTGCTTCAACAAAAACGAAATAATGAGCAACAAATAAATACATGTGAAAAAATAGTAACCCTGTACGATTAGGCACAGCTCCAGTGTTTCCTCACTGCTACACAATGGCACCGGAAACAAGAAAAGTGATTTTTCTGTCGCTGTACTGCTCCTGCAGTCTCAAAAACCATCTAAAGCCTTTTCCTTGTTTTGCCCTAATTCCTGATATTGTGTAGTGTTCTTGGTTGGAGGTTCAGTTTTTCACGAATCATTTATTAGGAGGTAGAACTCAATGATCGTACCAATCAGATCACAGAGATATTTCAAAAAAGCAACCATAAATAGCTGTGCCTAGGGTCTATATCACTACGAATGCCCTGCATTTAATTATAATCTATTCCTTAAGGAATTCACAATAAACGAAATAATACTAACAGTGGTTGTTTATGGTTGTCTCATTGCAACAACACCTCGCTCTGCCCTACCCTACCCATTACGCTATACAACCAGTAAGTACATCTAGTAGTAGCGAGGGGGGCAAACTGACAATATAACAACGTGAGATGAGGACCTGATAGTTGATGTATAGTACAGATTCAAATGAATTTCTGGATCTCGTCGTAAATGGCCAACACCAAAGCTCCTCCTGTTCCACGGAAAACATTGGACAATGCTCCCTTGAACATGGCTGACATTCCTTCGTTGGCAATGATCTTCTTGGCACAGTCAAGTGTGTTCTTGTACAGGATATCCTTTCTTCCAGACTGCATCATCATACGACGACGAACAGTATCCCAAGGATAAGACAAGATTCCGGATCCAACTGTGACAACCTAAAACAACAGAAAGTACCCTTCAAAACACAAGGTTTTATTTGAAGATATGAATTTACCTGAGCAATGGCCCATGCGACGAAGAAGTTGAGTTTGCCCTCCTTTGCTAGTACCATCTTGGCGGTATCGAACAGTCCGAAGTAGGCAGCACGGTAAATGATGATACCCTGTACGGAGACGAAGAAGCCACGGTACAAGCCAACGGGACCGTCAGACTTTACAGTCTTGATCAGGCAATCAGCCAATCCTCTGAACTCGCGGCCAGCTCCCTTACCGACATCGGCGGCTAGACGTGTTCGTGCGAAATCTAGCGGATACACAAAGCACAAAGACGTGGCTCCGGCAGCACCTCCAGATGCCAAGTTTCCAGCGAAGAACTTCCAGAAGTCCTTCTTCTTGTCGAGGCCCTCCAAGAAAACCTTCTTGTAAGAGTCCTTGAAGGCGAAGTTCAAAGCCTGTGTGGGGAAGTATCGAATAACGTTGGCCATGTTTCCTCTCCACAAAGCTGCAAAGCCCTGCTCCTTCGGGACACGGACGAACACATCAATAATTCCCTTGTACCGCTTATCCACGGCAATTGTGCTTGATGCATCTTGTACCTAAAACTTTGAGAGTAAGCATAGAAACAAAGCAAAATCGACGCAAGCAGATGCAGAATCGTATGAAAAAGTACCTGGAGAAGAAGCTTCACACGCTCAATAGGGGCGACTGCGGTCTTCGAGACGGCAGCAGCGGTACCTGAAAAGGAGCAACTGAAGCGATGGTTGCAAATTCTAGGCAGAAAAAGACCAATAATGTGCTCAACAAAGCAACACATATGACTTAATATATTTACCTCCTGAGGCCAAGTCGATGAAGAACTTCTTAACATCAAACTTCTCTGGCATGGTGAGAGTTGTGAGCCTCGGTGGTCGGTGCTTGCCTGGCGTTAGCAAAGAAGTGGTCTGCGTGAAAAAGTCTCCACCCCCTCGGAGGCCATTCCAGTTTTCGCGCCCGTGCCGGCCTCGCGAGGATAATTACCGTAAATTATGCGCTCGTTCGAACCTTGGCAGTGTTCCAGCGCTACTGAGGTGGTCATAGGTTTCGCTGTTCTGTGCTACCTAGAATGGGATTATTTTTTTGGTGGTCTCTACACCACTGGTCTGTGACCTTACTATTGACGTAATTTGTCGTTTCACCAGTTTGGCAACGTACCGTAATCAGTTAAGTAAATAGTTCTTGCTCTGGTTCACTAATCTATTGTTATTTCAGATTTTGGGATGCCATCGGATGCAAAAAAGGCAAGAGATGCTGCTAAGAAAGCTGCAGCAAAACAACAGAAGACAAACCGTGGAAAGAAGGTTGAGACGAAAGATGAAACCGTTCCTGAAAATGTACAGACAAATGACAGTGTACAAGCAAATGGAGATGTTCAACGGAAGATTTCAGACGGTGAAGACAACTTAGATAGTAAGTGGTGCTTTCTGTGTTGTTTACGGTTCACCTCTAGTCAACATAATGCATGGGTAATAATAACAACAGAGTCAGAGGGCTAGGAAGTCCGATGTTGACATGTCACAGTTTTTTTCTATCACAAGCTGTTTTAAAATGATTTTTCGATCAAATTATGAACAGTTCTCGTTGCGATTGCCAACAGGTTTTGTTATTTTGTGCATTTTATCCTCCCATAAGTTATTTTGTTGTTTAGATGCGATAGATGTTGCTGCCGAAACTCTGCAAAAAATTGAGCTCGAGAATGCACAAGCGCGATCTGTCGCAGGAGCATTGACTTCAAATCCCAAGGGTCTAGATCACAAGGTGGAAAGTCTAACGGTCAGTTTTCACCTTTTAACAGTCATTGAAATCTAGTTTTGTTTTCGTACTCTTTGCCCATTTCAATATTCGCGTCGAAAACAGTTATTGACAGTATTATGCTCTGCAGTTGGTGTAATTGTGCTATTGGCCCAACATGTCAGATTTACAGCGAGTCTTAACGCCATGATGCTGAGTGATTGTGATTACGTTACCTAAAAACTGAACACGGTTAACTACACGTGGGGATATCATAAGTAGGTATATTCGGTTATAGACTAGAAAATGAAGTAAAGTGAAAGTATGATAGCCAATTTACCAAAGCAAAAACATAGTTCGTTTCGCCTCTACTCAGACGAACCACTCTATTCCGTTAACCCTATGAGGCTCATCAGTGAGTGTAGGGTTAACGGAATCATGAGAAGTAGATAAAGTTAGTGGGGAACAAAAAGATGTGGTGAAGGAAATGGGACACAAACGAAGAGTGTGATACCTGGCCTACATGCTGTGAGGTATTTATATACAAATTTGTAGGTAATACTACAATTTGGCTGAGTATCGCCAATATGAAACCTTTAACATTAGCAACAGAGCGTGTTAACTGTTGGTATAGCTAGTTTATATGATTTACTATATAAGATAACATAACTAGTACCGATTATTTTCAAACAAACCACACACAAATGATTTTATTCGTTTATAGCTGGCATCAATGGAATATTTATAACCAATAAACTTATTTTTATATATGCACTTTAATATGCTAGTGATAATAAAGGTTTCTTCATACTCACTGGATTTCAGTACTTTTATCATTTCTTTGAGTTTAGAAATGAAGACTTCATACAAGGTGCATGTATTAGAGATTCTAAGAGTTTCAGTGTAAATAACTGCACTTTTATTATTAACTGATATATTAGAAGAGCTATGTGGAAATCTGATAACCTTGAAACTAAAATCGTCTGTTTTATTATAAAGTTCAGTATTGATACTACCTTTTTCAACATGAATCTTCAAATCTAAATAGTTGCTTGACTCCTCGTCATCGTTAGTCTTCTTGAGATCTAGTAAATCCTTATAAACATTTGTCAAAGCAGTTTTATATCATTTTCATTACCTTTATAAATGACCAGTAAATCGTCCATATATCTGTAAGGTATAAGCAATTCATTTTCGTTGTATCTCTTGATTTTTGAAAACTCAAATTCCATAATGGACAATGTAAGATCTGCTAGCAGAGGACTGAAGTTACCACCTTGAGGTACACCTTTTTTCTGTATAAAAATATTACTGCCAAATTTGCAAAAGCTATTGGTTAACAAATATTCTGTAAGGTATAGTAAGTCAGTAATTTTGTAATATCTATAATTTTTCTTAAAGTCCTTGCCATCACTGTAAAAAACATTGTATCCGTTTGTAGCTATAAGGGATTTATTAGCATTCTTGAAACATATATTCAATAACTTATTTATATTAGTCATGATCAAACTGTGTTCTAGATTTGTAAACATATCGGTAAAATCTGCTGTGTATATTTTCAAATTGGTATGTCTAATATTGTTAAGTTCCATACTAATGTTGATATTACTGATTGACCAATAGGTTTTAACTGTTCTGTTCCTAACTTGTATAACCTTGCAGTAATTGATAAAATGAGTTTTGATATGCGTAAATATAATATGTAATTCCTTAGCTAATGGTTTGAGGCTACTATTATGAGCTCCCGTGATAAACCTAAATTTTATAGGTGTTTTATGTAGTTTAGGTAGTGCGTAGATAATGGGTATAGCTGTAATGTCATTGGATACTAATCTATTACTTTCACAGAACACCTTATGTTTTGAAAGCAATGAAGTGATGTCCATATGAGTGACTAATTCATAGGTGTTATTTGTATTACCAAATTGGAAACTGCGACTGTTAGGATCGTAACTTATACCCATTTCTTTCATAATAGTAAGTAGGTAAAGTTTCTTACATATAATTCCATAATTATTACTAGCCTTATCCAGTGGGCAGAATATAAAGTCTTTTTGATACTGCTTTATGTGATGCCATGGAACCTCTTCGGACAACTTTTTTATTCTGTCATAAGTGAGAAGAGGTTTTATCTTAGTATGGAAGCAAGCATATAGATAGTTCCTAATCAAACCCATATTATATGTATTTAATTTGTATTTTCTTTTGAAGAACTCAATAGTTTCACCAATGATATTTTCATATGTTTTCTTAACATCGATTCTAGTTATTCCTTCATCTGTTCTATACTTTGTACCTTTCTTGAGAATTTTTCGGAAAGTATCTTCCTTAATTATGTCTAAATTTCCTGTAACTACATGCCCAAAATCATCACATGTGAATTTTTTGTACTCAGCTGTTTCACATATACATTTATTATCAATAATTGCTATAAATGTCTTCGTTATTTATATTTTTAAGCATGTTATTGTAATTGTAAATCTTACTGGAGATTACTCTTTCATATTTGTAGATGACCCTGACTGGTGTAATTTCTATACTTTTACCATTATTATTTTTGAATATTAACTTCCGGATGTCTTTGGAATTAAGAATTCTATTTATGGGTAGTTCATCAAAAATCCTACTTTTATAGTTGACGATAACATTATGATATTTGATTGCGAGCTTTCTGTCATCTGAAAAATTGTATTGAAAATGTGCTAATATGCAGAAAATCAAATATCTTTTCTTTTTATTAATGTTGCTCAAAAAGCTGGGATTGAGAGAAAGCTTGATTAATTCGTTGATTTCAGTTTTATTTAGAGATTTTAACATTCTATAGTATTCTATTGGTGTGACAATGTTTTCTTCATTATTGATTTCATCTAATACCTTGATCAAGTTGTCACTCTTTTCTCTTATTTTTTCTATGCTTTGATCCTCTGTTTTGTCTGTCTTTAACTATTTTGAGTGAGAAATAAGGAGGAGTTTTTCTGTACATAACTGGGTTATCAATATTGGAAATGTTTCCATAACCTTTAATATTGTCGTTGAGTCCAAAGGGATAAGCTGTCATCAATAGTTTAATCCAAAACAATTCTTTGTCTAATAAGGTTGTTTTATCGTTATATCGAGTGAGTCTAGAATCATAACACTTATACCCTATATCACAACCATAGAAATGATCATATAGTGGCGTATGCAGTTTATGAGTACAAATATTAGCTAAATGTTCGTAAATTCTCGTTTTTAAACTTTCTAACAGTCATACCTACATATTGTATACCACAATTATTACATGTAATGCAGTATATCACTTTTTCTGTATTGCAATTAGTATTTACTGCCTTAAATGTCTTTATCTTCAAGCCTGTAGTTTTTGAATATATATAATTATTAGTATCCGTGATACTACAGGCTTTGCATTGTTTATCACATTTACTCCCTTTGTTTTCATTACCGAAGTGTTTTAGAGTATACCTGCTGGCCTCTTCCCTTACCTTTTGAAATTTTGTTTTAGTATAGTAACCCTGGGTGCTTGCATTTTTGTTGTTTTTTGACCTAAGATCTAAGCGCAAGGGTGGTCCAACCCATGCGCAGAGAGGAGTCTCCCGAAGGATTGGCTGGGCTGCAGCCCAGGGTTGGCTTACCCTGTTTGTTCCCTTTCGGGAACGACTAGCGCTGGGGGCGCCAAAAATTGACCCCTCTTTGCCATTTTTGACTTGTATAACCCCGTCAGCGCCAATCCCTATTTTTTGAGTATAAGAGGTATGGTCCTCTTATGTGTGTATAAGTGTTAGTATTTAGGGATTTTGTAGTTATCCCAAAAGTTTTAAAAAAAGGAGAGAGGGAAGAGAAAAAAAGAAAAGAAAAAAATAAAGAGGCCAGCATAGTAACATAACAAAGGTTGTAAACTGAAAAACAAGGCAGAAGAGTAACTGGTATACAAAACAAAATGTATGATCAAAAAATAAAATGATCTATTATAGAGTAGGTCCTTGACAAGATTCGTACGAACCTATATTAAGTGGCAAGAATCACAAAAATTTGAGTGTATTGAATTGCCTTGATATTATATTCTATATACTATTGGTATCTATTTCTACAAATCATGATACTAGTTGTATATCATTTATGAGTTAAACTTCAACATACCTCTAGTATTCTTCATTATTGGGTGCGCCTTAATACAAGGATAGTAGCAACTATACCACTAGAATAGCAAAATCGAACTTAGTATAAGAGTACCATAGAATCCTTTCTTTGAAAGTTGTTGAGAGCTCTTCGGCAGCCTAGAGTATCTGTAACATGCTAGTTCTAAATAGCATAGTGATCAAAAAGGTCAGATGTATGATAGTACAGAACGATTAACTCAGACACGAAAGACGTGACAGGTGAATTTCGAACAGGATAGTAATGTAACGTAGGTAGTTAAGGAATAATACCTATCAACTCATCAAATAAATGATGTAGTTACAGTTACCTATTGCAAAAAGGTCTTAAAAAACCAAGTCGTAAATTAGTATGTAGCAAAATATAGAGTTTGGTGTAATTACACAACTCATGATGTAATTGTATAATAGCTCAAATTCAGATACTGTATACATTATTCATGTGAAAAGTGAAGTGTGCATAGCTGAGTTAGTAAAGAAATCACCATTAGATGTAGAAAAAACAAAACATTCAATCTTTGGAGAATCTGAAGTGTAAACATTAGTTGATAACATATTGGCAATCCATGAATCTTGTTGAACCGTCGTAAAATAACAGCGACATGCACATGCATACTTTTGTGCAAATACACAACTGGTGTCTAATCGTAACGTCTTGTCGGCCTTTTTTATGTATATAACATTATAATTGTTGTTTTATTTTGAATTTAGTATGTTTGTCGCATAAACTCTTCATTATTATCAGGTTTATGTGTTTTTTATTAACTTGTGCTTGTTTTAGGTCTTGCAAAAGTTATTTATCACTACACTCGGTAAGAGTCAATGTCTCATGAATCTGTTCTTTTCTCGCGCAATCAAGCCGAAAGGTGAGACCAATATGATTTAACATGTTTGAACGATGTGATTAGTCTTACATACAGTTATGTAAGCTTACTAATAATTGAATAAGGGTTGTAATATTTAATAGCTTCTTGTATATCACTCTTGTATATCACTAGTAAGTTCAATGGTGAATAGGTAGTGTTTAGCACCAACTTGAATCAAGTATCTTTCACAATTAGGTTATAATCTAGACAATTTTAAGGTGCCAGGTTTCAATTGTACCAATGTGGATCAAACTAAGCGTAGAGATAATCAACAGGAGGCAATTCAATAGAGCTGTTATGTCAAAAATGTTAAAAGTGTGTGTTTGTGCCTAATCCTACAAAAATGCCAATCCAAAAGATTGTGGATTTTTTCTTGAAGGAGGTGGTCAGGTAGGACTAAGTTCCAATATGAGTAAAGTTAGAATATTGAATAGCTTATAGGTACGAGAATGAGAAGGATCCAAATGCAATTTCATGGTGTAAAGCAATAGGCTCCATGGGTGAAACCATAAGTTTCAAGGTAGTATCTAATTCAAATGGTACCAGCGTTTATATAATCAAAATAAGTATTAAGGGAGAAATGTCTTCGTGCTTCTGGCAATATTTCCTGGAATCTGGGAGGAAAAAATTGTTTGAATACAACAAAATGAACAAAACCAAAATAAAAGTAGTACGAGGACACACTATAAAAGCAGGTGATCTGGAGAATTTAAGGTACAGACCTTGACTAATACCTTTGAACTTATAATTGCAGAATATGTAATGTTGAAAAGGATCTAAATGTTTCGTTTAGTCTATATCTGAGGAAGAGAATCAGACAATATTGTGTGGACAACCATCTATCTGTGCCTGAAATCGCAATAAAAAATGCGTTCCTAACGATCCGAAAAAGAAATGGTGAAACCACAGTAAGTCCAATTTATCATAGTGTTTGTAGATACTTAGATTGGTGTTGAATTACTAAACCTTTCCAGAAAATGCGTTCCACCGAGATGGCAATAAAGTTAGGATGGACATACGAAGACTGGCATGGAACGCAAATCGATATGCTGATGTCAGATGCCGAAAGGGAGGCCTACCATGTATGTTCAATATCATTAAGTTTTGACATCTTAATTACATAATAGGTTATGAGATAGAATGATTATTCAGAGGCAGAATAAAGTGGGGAAGTCTCCCTATCGATTCGCTTTTGAATAAGGAGTGCACTTCAATTAAGGATTCAGAACCAAATATGCAGGTATTAGAAAGAGAACATCTATATTTCCAGATGTTTGAAGTGCTGATTTATAGGATGTACATTCAAATCGGAAGAGAGAGGCTACTCGATCTGAGGAAACCTGTCAAGCAACCTAGATGTGAAATGTTGTGAAGGGAAGCCACGCCAACGGAGAATGTTGAAGGTGACAACGTTGATGAAATGAATGGGTAGTGATAGACTAATGTTATATGATATGGAAATATAACCGTTTTAAAGAAGTTTTTGTTTGAACTGTTATTTGAGTTACTAATGAAGTTTCCAAGGTCGGAGTCTTAGAGAAAGTGACTGATAGTAATTACATTAAAGAATGATATGCTAGAAAACAAAGCGATATGTTGAGATAAGCAAAATAATCGAATAACAAACACGCCATAAATCGACGCACAACGGACACGTCCGAAAAGAGCCCACCACCACGGTGACATGAGGCCTCCGCTCAAAAGTGTTAGTAGAAGAGTTTCAATCCCGCCGGACGGAACTGATGCATCCTTGTTCCTGGGTTACCCGCGGAAAACAACGTGCACCAGTCTTGTCCAATAAATGAAGTAAATTGAATGATGATAGCGAATTTACCAAAGCAAAAACATGGTTCGTTTCGCCTCTACTCAGACGAACCACTCTATTCCGTTAACCCTATGAGGCTCATCAGTGAGTGTAGGGTTAACGGAATCATGAGAAGTAGATAAAGTTAGTGGGGAACAAAAAGATGTGGTGAAGGAAATGGGACACAAACGAAGAGTGTGATACCTGGCCTACATGCTGTGAGGTATTTATATACAAATTTTGTAGGTAATACTACAATTTGGCTGAGTATCGCCAATATGAAACCTTTAACATTAGCAACAGAGCGTGTTAACTGTTGGTATAGCTAGTTTATATGATTTACTATATAAGATAACATAACTAGTACCGATTATTTTCAAACAAACCACACACAAATGATTTTATTCGTTTATAGCTGGCATCAATACAATATTTATAACCAATAAACTTATTTTTATATATGCACTTTAATATGCTAGTGATAATAAAGGTTTCTTCATACTCACTGGATTTCAGTACTTTTATCATTTCTTTGAGTTTAGTTATTTAAGATAAGGAAAAAAAACAAGTCTATGAGTCAAGGAGTGCTATGATGCGTCTTCAGCCTTCATTACCACGTTTCGTTGTGGTCATCTCGAATTGTTCTATGTATATTTGGTCGCTTATTGAGTTAAATGCAGAAGTTACTCAATAGAACAACAAGCTACTCGTCCCGTTCCTCCACGCGATGGTTCAAGCGATGGCTTCTTCATGTCTGTCGTGTGGTACCGCGTCCATTTTTAATTTACTAATAGTGCATTGTTAGACTGAGACGCACTTATACCAACATAAACTTGATCTGTCTTAATTTCCAACTGACTGCTAAAATTAAGCACCAATCTTCTTATTTGGTCAATTTTGGAACAGGCTTTTTTGGAATTTCCTTTTAGTCGACTTTTTTAATCTCGTAGTTCCAATTTTTGTGAGATGTTTTTGTAGAATGGTTAAGTGAATTGATAATTTGTTTGTAAATTATGGGGTATTTCGTGTAGTTCAGACCACAACTCCTCTGAAACCGATTTAGTCGAAATTCAGGAAATTCTTCGTTAACCGAATATTAATCCTAGCTAGAATAAGTGATAGGGCGTTTCCAGATGTAAACCCTGACTTTGAGATGCACATCGAAGGAATGGCTACGCCACATTAGCGCAAAAAATTAAGTATTTAAAAGACGAGTGACCACGGGGAAATAATTTATATGCTTAGTTTTATTTTATTGAACAGAACAGAAGATATTTTTCAGATCACATTCCATGGGAGAGAAATTGTTGTGGACACCAAGTTGGAGCTCAATCGAGGAAGACGATATGGCTTGATTGGTCTCAACGGGAGCGGTAAGCACTTTTTTGAAAAAGATTGAACATATGTCATCATTTCTACTCTTGATTTCTACCATTTTTTTTACATTTTCAGGTAAATCAACCATCATGCATGCCATAGTTAATCGAGAGCTTCCTATACCTGACAGCGTTGATATGTACTTGGTGAGTTTTAACTTCTGGTCAACATTGACATTTACTATGATTGCTGTACTACTATTTTTTTGCGCTTCTGAAGCTCAGCTGTGGTGCTGAGAAGGCTGCTGTTTGATATAAAAATATTAATTTCCTCTGGGACTTTTATCGCGCACGCTCACTAAATGTTGTTTTGGATACAATAATAACATCCCTGCAAATTTACTGGGAGAATTGCTTTGATGTATGTCTTGGAAATGCGTGTGCTTTTATGAATAAGGACCTGTTGGCAAGAAACCCTTATGTAGAGCTATTATTTCAGGTGTCACGTGAAATGCCTGCTTCTAACACAACTGCTTTGCAAGCAGTGGTTGATGTTGATACAGAGCGGAAGGAACTGGAGCATCTCGCCGAGGAAGCTCGCTGGAAATGACGACGACGGTATGTGTTTGCAAATTGTGGTTTTGCTTGAAGGTTTTCATGTTCAATATTTTTAGAGAGCCAGGAGAGGCTTCATGGATATTTATGAACGATTGGATGATATGGATGCAACTCTGGCGGAAAAAAGAGCTGCTGAAATTCTCCATGGTCTTGGGTTCACGAAAACTATGCAAATGAAAAAATGCAAAGATTTCTCAGGTTTGATTTCGAAGCTTTTGATTCGCTACACTTATTCATTTATGTCATCTAGTTTAGGAGGATGGCGGATGCGAATAGCTTTAGCCCGAGCACTTTACTTGAAACCTTCTTTGTTACTCCTCGACGAGCCTACGAACCATCTTGATCTCGAAGCTTGCGTTTGGCTTGAAGGAGAGCTTAGTCGATATAAAAGAACACTGCTTATTGTTTCTCATTCACAAGATTTTATGAATGGTGTTTGTACGAATATTATTCACCTTTTCCAGAAGAAACTAGTTTATTACACGGTAAGCAAGCCACTGATTTTTTCTTGGCAACTTTCTATACTTTTTCTTTTTCAGGGTAATTATGACCAGTTTGTTAAAACCCGACTTGAGCTTATGGAAAGTCAAATGAAACGATATAATTGGGAACAGTCGCAGCTGCAGCATATGAAGGCAAGTTAATTGTGCGCTTCTAACAATGAAAAAGCTAGTATCGAATCTAGTTGAATACCTAATTTTTAGGATTATGTAGCACGTTTCGGTCACGGTTCTGCCAAACTTGCCCGCCAAGCCCAGTCCAAAGAAAAGACGATGGCGAAAATGATTGCTGGTGGTCTTACAGAAAAAGCTGTCGCAGAAACGGTTGGTCTGGTGCAGTTTTGTGTAGATTTTTATGATATCTTGCGATAGCTCTTTTCTCGCGCAAGCCTTGCAATGTAATAAGCATAAGAATCGTATGCTCTTGTCGTTTGGCTGTTCTTTTTTACTTTTGTGGTTTCGGCGGTAAGTTCGTCACGGCTGCTAAAGATAAGTGGTTCTAATCACTTTGCAGCTAGCTGGAAAATCATTCAATTTAGTTTAATATGTAGTCTCTCAGAATGTGTCTTGTTGTTCTCTCAGAATGTGTATTTTTTTTTGGTTGTTGATTCAAAATATTTTGTTCTCAGTTGCGAAAGGCTTTGTTGCAGGATGGAAACGTCTATTTCTTCGAAGCAGGCCGATTCCCTCCAGTTATTATGGTGAACATTATCGTTCCGTATATAGATGTACTACGGTTTAATGATACTCCTATTATCTTTTGCATGAGCGTTGAAAGAAACAAATATTTATAGCCATGGATCGATAGGAATATTGATTTTGGGATTGATCTCGATACACGTGTAGCATTGGTTGGACCAAATGGAGCAGGAAAGTCTACTTTACTGAAGCTGCTCTGTTCTGATGTTTATGCCACTGATGTCTCTAAATCAGGCGAACTTACTCATGTAAAATGCCGCTATGATCAGGTAAGATCGATGCAAATAGATGTGAAATTGCTACGAAGATTAGCGGAGACTGGTGTTCGAATGCACATTGAACATCATTTTGATCGTGCAGTTGTTTTTTTCACCTCTCATATCCCATTGTAGCAATTTTCTATAATATTTTGCCCGCTCGGCACATATCAGTGCTATGCACTGCCTATGTTTTGTTGAGGTGTCTCTGTGCGGTTGGTCTGTTTGACGTGTTACATCTGAGAAGCGTCAAGGTGAGTTTATGTAATTCCTACGACGGCTGTAATCCAATTAATCTTCAAGGGTGTGGTAGGTAGTGCTAGTTTATAGTACTAGCGAAAAAATCCATTAACGGGGCTGGCGATTTCCTGTTATCTCCAAGTCACATTCCTGATGATAGATCTTTTTGTATACATTTTCAGTTCATCTCTAGGAATTTGTTGGTCATGTCAAAAAGTCCACCGAAACCCCTTTTATCCGTGAATACGGCAAGAACAGATAGCGCCAACATTAATACAGAACGCGAAGGGGCTGGACGTGCAGCTGTTACGCCGAGGCGTCCAAAGCTCATAAGAGGCGTACTCGACATGGAGGAAAATCTGTTTCATTTTCCAGATCGATTTAATCAATTTGAGCGTTAGGACAATGAGATATATGGTTATCTGTTCATTTTCTTTTTCAAGCCTTTAGTGTCCTTTTTTGATAAATTATTACATCTGCACGAGTTAGGCAATCACTGGGAGATGCTCCTTTTTTCTTTCTTAGTAGTTCACGCTTTATTATATCAAGAACACCCGCCGTCTCGTAGGTCTTTGATCCTTTCGGTTTTAGGACTCAACCCTTTTGGTCAGCCTTAGGTGCTCTGGGTCGAATGAGTTCATTGTATGAGTCTAATAACTTGTTTTCTCTTGAAACTCCATGATAACATCCACTCTGCATGTAGCCGTCATTTGACTAACTCAAAGTGCTCGCAGCGGTCTTTTCCGAACTACTGACCCAACCTCTGCATCTTAATGAGTGACTGTGAGTTGAGGTGGATCATATATTAGGTTACGTATTCATGAGAAACTGCAACATCTAAGTATTGCTTTTGCGTTTCTCGGAATGCTATTTTCGATATGGTAGTGATAGTCAGTTGGGTACCAGTACGCATCAACTCGGGAGAATGGTGCAGCTTTTGTAGCTCTTGTAATGTAATGTTCTTAAAGGGCGAGGGCGGGCCTGTACCGTGACAATCATTTCCATAGTAAAAGTCCTGAAGAAATAATTCTCAGATACGCACGGCAGCGCGATGCACTCTTCGTTTGCGCTCTCATGGTGAGCAAAGGAACATCTCGACCTGAACATCTGAAGGTCAGCTTGAGGAATTCCTTGACCAAGACTGGGATAAGGGGCAGTTCGGATGAACTGCTCTGATCCCAGTCTTGGTCAAGGAATTCCTCAAGCTCATTGCTGGCAGCTTCATTCCTACACCTTTTTACGTTTTTGTGTTGACTGCACGCTCGAGAGGGTGGCAAAGCTTGAACCGCGGAAAACCTACATTTCGTCAAAAACGTTTGCGAGCCAAAGACAAGGAAAGGTACCTAGGAGGGTCTCATTGGATGAACAATGAACAAATGCCCTTTTTGTGGAAAATTGATGGAAAATTCGGTAGCCCACACTCGAGCTCTTTCCTTCTGAAAATCTTCTTCGCCTGCTCAAGTATCTGTCCGACTTTGTGACCAATCGCTGCTGAATCTTACAATGCGGTGGTGAATGGTCGCAAATCTCGCAAAGCCTGATACCTGCTTCAAATTTGCTTTTTTAAACCATCCAGCACAAGAAGCCGCACAGAATGCAAAAGAATTCGAAAAGATGGCAACGAAAATGAGTTGTCTTCTTCTTTACTATGTTTGTTGTTTGTTGTTAACTAAACATAGTTTTGAAAGTGAGAAAAACATGCCATTGAGAAAAAAGATTAATAAATTCAAAGTGTTGTTGTCCAGGTTTGCTTCTTGAGACCTTGGCATGCTCAGATAGTAGAATAGTTTCCTTGCCAAACAGTTTTTTATAGTGAAGCGTTTGTTGTGCCGACGTTTCGACTAGTTCGTCGTCTTCAAGGCCTGAAGGAAGCATCTCAAAAAATCTCAATATGGAACTTATCCTGCTCAACGCTGACTTGCTTCTAACTAGTCACAACTCCGCCTTTTGCTTGAGCTGTGACTAGTTGGAAGCAAGTGAGCGTTGAGCAGGAATAAGTTTTTTTCAAGATTTTCCGGGAGGTTTCCGTCAGGCCTTGAATACGACGAAATAGTCGAAACGTCGACTCAATAATCGCTTCACAGTAAAAAACCTGTTGGGCACAAAGAAAACTCCTTCACTATGAAAGCCTTATTTTCTTCTTCCTTGGAAGGGTAGCATATCGCCCGTGTGTTGAAGGAATACCAGTAACTGTGCTAGTGCACGAGCGGACGCTGTAATTAGTTCCACTAATTGCGCTACATGTTTAGGTTAACAGCGCTGAAAAAGTAAAATGGAGAAGGCCGTGCGCCAGTAACTTCATGCATACTGCTGATTCAGACTAATATTTCTACGAATGGTGGAGTTTTGTGGTCCTTTTTCAGCATATCTTAAGAAACACTTGGGTAGTGCTGGTAGTGATGAGAAGATTACCGAAGTTCTACCTCCAACTACAGGAATAGCAGTCCCCGTTAAGTCAGAAAAGACCCACGGAACTGTGGGAAAACCATTGAAGAAGAATATTAAGGTAACTATCCAGTAACTCCCATGTGCAATCAGCTACTTTCTCCTGCTCAGGCTACTGTTCTCACATTCCGTGCTATTGTTGATCGTCCACATGTGGCTCGAGTGCAACTTCTGCTATGTAATATATCTGACCGAGCACTTTACTTCAAACTGAAAAGCAACCCTGGCAGCAACGTATCTGTAAGTATGCATTTCATGTGCTTCTCCCTTCTCGGTATCGACCTTGTATGGGCTTGAACACGATCCATCAATGAAGCCAAAGCTTTGTGTGCTCTATCTCTGGGCTATGGGTACTTTTCGATGGCAGGAGAACGATTCGGTGTGAAGTGTTGATGTTGGTCCGATACTTCGCGTCTGCTCATCATGTGCGACTAAACTAACGCATTTAGGTCGTGGCCAGCCCTTCTTTCAGATATGCGTTTTTCTTTCTGGGGGTAGTTTGCATGTGTACCATGGGTATTTGCCATTTGCCGCATTTGCCTATCAGTGCATTTGACTTCTTTTGTACAGTCGATATCCGAAAGTTGGGGTAGGTGTGTCACCGGAAGTGACGTGCACTTGATAGAAGTTGCGTGGATAAGCTGTTGCCAGCATGCTTTGCTGATATCCAGCGATGTATGTTGGAAGCAGCTTATCCACATAGCTTCTATCAAGTGCACGTCACTTCCGGTGACACGCCTACCCCAACTCTCAGATATCGAGTGCAAAACTGATGTTCACGTGGAACGCTAACCATTTACAGTCTAGTAGCTGTGATGCAGTGTGCCACCACAAAAAACTACGAGATTTTGACTCAATCTCTTGCATGTTAGCTTCATGATATCAGATCATTATTTGGCAAAAGTCAGTGCTCAGTGATTGCGAGTAGTCACTCAGTGCGTGACATTAAATGGGTTTGAGCAACAGCTGTTCCCTTATACAGGCTCGGCACGTATTCAAGTGCGTATGCGATCTGAATCGAAGTTGAATGCGAGGCTTGCCTAACTATATTGTTGCGCAAATTCATCCTTTCCAAGCAGAAGAAGCTTGCTACCGAATTCCTGTTGTTACAGGCCCTGCCTGCTGGAAATGCGGAAATACCACCGCATTCTCAAGTACGGCTAATTTTAACGTGGACAAGACCTCCACATTTTGAACATTGGAGAGACGTTCCACCTCCGAAATTACTAATTGTTACTCGATTTCTGGATTCTACTAGTGATTCTGATGCATCTCAAACAGCAATTCGTCTCATTGTAAGTAGCAATTAATAGCGTCATTTTCACTATGGTTGCTCTGAGTATACTCTGTATAGGCTCGCGTGAGTGCATCTAAGACGTGTTTTGCTTCCAATCCACCCATAGAGCAGCTGCTCCTAGATGCCGCGGGCAAGGCGGATATGGAAGTGTCGTCGTATGTTTCTCTAACTCTTTTGTTTTCAGTATTATCAAAAGATACGGTTATTATAGAAGCTTTTCCACTGGGTGGTCTAGCTAATAAGCTGGGAAGGTGAAATAATAACCAGCAAGGGAAGGCTGGATGGTTGGGGTGACTTTCTGGGATGGAATGATGCCATATGCCTCTTCGACCGCCGTTGTCAAATCTGTATTCCAAATCTAAACTCATGACGGTTTTCTGAACAGATTGACGGAGGGTTTTGGTGGCTACTATATGGCTAGATACACAATCAGCATGAATATTGGACCCATACGAAGCCTGCATGTGGTCGCTGCTATGCTATTCTCTAGGCTGCAGGGTCAAGGGTTGTGGTTTACTAGGACGGTAAGCGACTTAGTCCGCAGCGCAAAAAAATTTCGCTGCGGGAACCTTTGGTCCACTGACGATCAGCGCTGGACCTGAAAATCCCGCAGCGAGAATAGTTTTGCGCTGCGAAATGCAAAAAGTCGCGCTCTGTCCTAGTGAACCACACTCGGGTCAAGGATTTGGTGATCGGGATTCTTTCGCGTTTGTCAAAAGTGTTTTCTATACGTATGAAAACCACATGCATGGTTACGACATCTTGTCCATGCCGAAAATTGCTGCTTGCGAGGGCCATAGGTGCCGTTCTGGACAACTGAAAAATAGGCGCTTTTGGTCACTGTTTCTTTAGCACTAGCAGCAGCATTAGCATCAATAGAATAGAATAAGAATCATGAGAACCGAAACTTCGTTTACGTAGCAGGGATTCAGTCCTGTGCATGGTTACTCTGAAATTCGAGTAAGGATTTTTCAGTGTGGTGCATGAGGGAACACCGCGTACTCCAGTTAAAAGTGAAGACCAAGTTAGCCATGGTGTACAGACCGGAAAAGATGTGGCTGATTTCCTCAATGCTGTTGACGATAGGGGATTGCTCATCCTCATCCTAATCTTACTAGCTACTATGTACATTGTTAGTAGAATATATGATAAGAAGCATGAAAATAACAAGTAGCATACTTGTGCCTTCTAAAGTTGCAACTGCATTCTCATCTCCAAGTTCCATAGTGCTCGTCTACCTACAGATGTGTTTGTGTACTTCTGTGTGCTAAGTTCTCTGTCACACGTCCCCAGTTGAGATGCTCATTTGTGTGTCTCTGTCTTGAACATTTTTATTTGTGTATTCTACTAACGTGTGTTGAGAACACCGTAATAAACTGCATGAACGGTTTGTTTCGAGCGTTTCCAACCGTTTTCATTCAGTCAATGTGCATCCAAACACACCAGATCTCCGCTCAACAGTTTCATAAGGTTCTAAAGGAGCCATGCTCTATCCGAACAAGTATTCGATATTAATATTGTTTTGTCAGCATCTCCATGAAGAACTTCCGCTTGAGAAGTCTGCCCTTGAATTCATGATGTCATCATTCCCTGATGTGAAAGAAAAGGAAGAAATGCGAAAGATCGTCGGTCGCTATGGCATCACAGGTCGAGAGCAAGTAGGTGGTACCTCACTTCATCTTAACACGGTGTGCAAGCTTGACTTACCGCTCTTTTCAAGGTCTGTCCTATGAAACAGTTGTCGGACGGGCAGCGATGTCGTGTTTCGTTTGCATGGCTCGCATGGCAGCAGCCTCATCTTCTATTACTTGATGAGCCCACGAATCACCTTGACATGGAGTCCATTGACGCCCTCGCTGAGGCAATCAACTGTTTTTCCGGTGGCATGATTCTGGTTTCCCATGACTTCCGTCTTGTTAGTCAGGCGAGTTATTCTTTTATGATTGTCTACGTTTATCTTGTACTCTGTTCACATTCGTGAAGTATTAAGTATTAGTCTTGTTTTTGATTATTGCTAGAATGCTGAATTATTAGCAAAAATACGCCTCAGGCGGGAATCAGAGCCTCACCTTTAGCTGTGCGCGCATGTGCTAGAGAGTACACCACTGGGCACCAATACCTTCTCCTTGACCCATACCATGTGAGCGTTAATAGCTATGGTAAATATACAACCAAAACTTGGGTTAAGGTGGATCGGTGCCCGATGGTGTAATTGTAGCACGAATGCGCGAAAAGCCAAAGGTGAGTTGGTCCGAATGTGTTCGAATCCCATCTGCGGCGAGGAGTTCAACTATATCTCTGCATGTGAACTATTTGCCTTAAATACCCTCAGTGAATCTGTATGTTCAATGACGCTAGTAAGTTTTAGGTGGCGGAGGAGGTATGGGTGTGTGACAACCAGACGATCAAGAAATGGGATGGTGATATTTTCTCATTCAAAGAACATCTCCGACGTGAAATTGATCGCGATGCACGAGCTCGAGAGAGAGGACTCACAAAAGAACGTTAATGGAATTACGGGTTACGAACTTGGGTGCTTTTTTGCACAATTTGATTCGCTTGTGACTTGTTCATCGTTATTGTTGCACATTTCGAGAGATTTGGATGCTTGTTTTGTTTACTTGTTGTTGGCCGGTTATTCGATACCAGTCATAAATACGTTCGCCGGTCTTCCAGCAACGTTTTGTTCGTTTTACCAAATGACCCTTTCTCGAATGCTCGTTTAGATTCTATCTAGCTATTTATGCTCTCGCAGTCACCTGGATGATACTGACCGTAATAAATGTTGGTTTTCATTGTATTGTTGTTGATATCAAACTGGAGAGTTTCGGTCACATTTGTGTCTCGCTAAAATCATAGTTGATGTGTCTGTGAATCGCGTGATCTTGCGAAGTCAGGCAAATCTCAGAACGATTCTGACAGACTTCAAATTACCGTTTCCGTTTTTTAAAACTTATTTCGAAGTTAATTGTTGTCCTTAAAAATTGTGGTCTCATTTTCTCAAGTCTACGTGAAAGTTATGTTTCTTCACTGCTCCTTTTATCCGTTCATGTCGTGGCAATTCGGTTTGTTCACGTTCCAATCCATCTAGCTCTTTTTCCTTCTTGCCAATCTGTTAGCCAATTTCGACTTAGCGACTTCTTCCAATAACAGCAGAGAGTGGTTGGGGATGAGGGTAAGATCATTACTACGTGCTAAGGCATAGCGGTATTTTTCCAGAGGCATGCATCCTACAATTTTTGTAGTTTACAGCAAGGCGGAAGAGGTTCACTTGTGAATTCTTTTGAATCTGTAGAATAGGGTTTCCTGAAATGCGTCTCAAGTCGAGAGGCTCGTTTCAGCGCTTCCAACGCGAGGACTGGAAGGGAAATGTGCATGCAAATCCCTTACGTGCTTTTGCATAATAGCAGTTCTCTTGTGATCACCTACTGACATAAATCTGAACCCAGACGGGAACAGAAATATTGCAGTGTAGATTCGCATACCACCTCAACTCGTGTTTTATATAGTCGGCTTTAACAGCTTCAGATAGTCGTTCTACCTCAAAGGAGTTGAAGACTTCTTTCAAGTGAAGGAATTGGAGTAAACGTTTACCGGTCTGACTGCGTAGGATACAGGCGTAATGTTGAGTTTTGGTCATCGAAACGACAATGGGCGATAGCTATTGTTCCAAAGCTTTTACTGGGCTTCTGCGCGCCCCCAGTGCCCATGTTTCGGCCGTGTTTTCACGATCTATCTCTGCGCCTATTCCACAATTTTTCTTTTTTCCAAAGTGTTTGCCTCTTGTTTCTACCTTACCTTTTTTCTTGCAGAAAATTTTTAGTTTTACTACATTTTAATTTTCCCCTTCTTTCTCCAATGGCAGAACATTTGCTGTGGAGCGTCACCTATAGTACAATACGTTGTTCCATAAATATGCATCACGGTTTCGGCCGTGTAACCTTTTCAAAAATGGTTCTAAACTTGAATGGTTGCACACAATCTTCAGTCAAACATTTACATGTTTATTCACATTCCAGTGGAATTTATTCGCTATGTCTTGTCGCCGTGATTGTGGCTGTCAGTCTTCAGTCTGGTTTCAGTGCCTCATGGCTTTTTGTGGTATCCTTACGGGTCCTCCTTCATGTAGGCGCATTCTTTAGTGCAGTCCTTGTCCTCTAACATGTCTTATGGTTAGAGGAATGGTCCAGCAAACTGAGATTGACGAACAAGCGAGCCATTTGTTCAGTGATAAGTAGGAAGAGTGGCACGACGCCAGTGCTTAACACTGAGTGAGCTATAGTTGGGACCGCCGCGATTTACAAAAGCTTCGATTCATGCCTTTCTACGTATTCCGTCGGTGTCCTCAGGAGTATTCTCGAAGTGAGGAACCCCAGTTCAGGGGGAGGGAGGGAGGGGGGGGGGGGGGCCGGCCACTCCAATATTGCCATTTTGGGAAAAGATCCCTCAGACTTCCCATGAACATTCAATCAAAATTATTTCTGAGAAGTACCGGTGAATGTGGAAGTACTCCTAAGGTGCTTTCAGATTTTCGCCTGTCTGTGGTCCAAGGAAATGGTCCTGAACTAGGATATGGACATCCTTTCGTAGGCGCAAGGGTGCCAGGGTGGAGCTCAGGTTGGACGATCGCATACCATAAATTGCGTAGGATGGGTGTGCGTGATGTAGGACACACACCGTTCCTTATCAAAAGCGCTCTTGAAATGAGTGTTTACCTATTATCTCATCCGCAGGGTTGAAGTCCAAAGGAGTGCTCCTCCCTAGTACTACGGATAAGATAACAGGGAGTGTTCCCCCCCCCCCCCCTGAACTGGAGTTCTACTCTCAAAGTTTTACGTTGGAGCTGCGCTCTTGGTGTTCCTCATCAGTAAACTGGCCCTTGTAAGAAATGGCCCTATGGCGCTCGCTTTGCTCGCTAGCTGGCAAGCAATCGCTTCACCCCTCCCAGTGCAAGTGCTTGTTAAAGGTCCCTCGTGCAAGCTACAAAAGTGTTTAACATCCCGTATGACTTCCAAAACTGCCACCGCTCCGGTCATCTTTCTCATGCTTGTAGGAGCTTTGCGGTCGATAAGCCTCTGCAGAATCCTGAGTTGCGTGCAAGAGCGGCCTTCTGTGTGAGGGCCGCCGCCGGGACGACGTTATCTTGTTCCTTTCTTCCGTGGACGGTGAAGTTTGAAGCGCTTAGATTCAGGGGAAGGGCGATTCTTCTATAGAGAGAATAAATCCTCTACTAAGGCTTTGGAGCACAGCTGGAAATCGAGAATCGAGATTTAGAATTTTGGCAAGTTCATTCATCAGAGTGAATGGAATTATTGATTCGCCAAGCCTTGATAAAAGCAAACAGTCGTCATCAGAAATGGCGCTCATGATTTGATGCAGTATTTATGGAACATCCTTTACTAGCAGACCTTTCTGTCTTTCCTCGCTGAGTGCTGAAAATTTGAACTTTCACCTAATGACTAGATATGAGCAATCTTCGCGGTCGTAGTTGAGCAGTAGCTGAAGGAGCTACATCTCACTGGCGCAGTCTGTAAAATGGAATAGTACAAAATTGACAAGCCTTCTTCCGTTTCGAGTTCCCTTCGCTTTTTCTAACCATAAGTGAAGAACCTCCTCAAAGATCAATATGTTGCTCATCCACCAATATAACAAAGAATGTCAAGCGAGTTAGAGATAAAATACATGTCAGCTCGGGTATTTTTATTGCCATGGTGATATATTACTATTGTTAGCGGAATTACTAACATGAATAAGTGACAGTTCTTTTAGCGAAGAATGAATCATAGATATTGCAGCCCATTGAAAAGGGCATTCAAATATACCTTGGCCGTTTTCGCCGTGGCGTAGAATAACATAAAACCTTTCATTTCAGAGCAGGCTTTTTGTGAAGCCCGTCCCACTTTCATCATGTTATCCTCATCAAAGTTAACGCTTTTCGTTTGAGAAACTGCGGAATAAGTATGAGCTGTGGCAGTGCTTGCTGAGTTTGGAGCTTTCTAATTCCCCTGCAGCTATCACCTTTTGCGAAACATCAGGTCGACTCAAAATCAACAAAATTTCTCTTGCTCATTTTTTCGTAGACCCATTTCTCCTTCCTGTTATGGAAAAAAAACCTGCATATACCTCCAAAACGCTTTTATGCTCACTCCATGTCGAATTCGAAGTATATAGTCCTGATGAGTCCTGTTCTGAGATGCGCCACGCAGTCGGCTCAAGGTGTAAATCGTACATGCATTTGAGTGCATTTTGCCTTATTATAACTTC